ACTGGCTATTTTGAAAAAGAAAAAGACAGAGAACTATGCATCAGTGAACTGAATAGAAAACATAATAATACTAAGAAACCCTCTACTGGAGATCTGAAAATCATCAGACTAGAAGAGCTCACGCCAAGTAGGAAGCATATCAAAATACACAACAAACATCCAGCAATCCTACAAAGAACAACTCTCAATTCAAAAACAAAGGAAAGGGCAAAGAAACAATTACAGACGAGTTAAACACATATAGCCCTGGGCCACACAACTCAGAAGTGACAATCAAAATCCTGGATATCCCATGTAATTTCGCCACATATAGAATAAAAGGGGCTATAAAAGGCTACAGTATAATCACACAATTCAACACTTACACAGAAAAGCGGAGGCATTACAAAACAGCAACAGTAACCTTCAAGAATATCAAAATCGACTTGAGAGAAGTATGGGCAATCCCAATTGGTGAAATAATGGCAAGAATTGTATCATATCAAGACCTTGAAGAAACACTCACACAAAGAAACAAGTTCACTGCAAGGCTTTATGGCATAAAGGAGAACATATCCGCTACAAGAATAATGAATGCAGTCAAACATACCGAAGCAAAAACTGTGCACATACCCTTGAATAGCAAAACAGGAAAAAGAAGAAGATTTGCAATTATAGGATTCAAGGATAACCAAAGTCTCAACCAAGCGATAACAAGTCATATATATCTCTTCGGAAGCCAAACATGGTGGAGTACCAAAGACAACTCCAAGACCCTAGGAGAAAAGACACCAAATATGCAAAACACCGCAAGACTTCTTATAGAGACCCAGATGAGACAATGATACATAGCAACTGGCAACAAGTTGCAGAATCCTGGTATTGCAATCACAACACAAAGAAATATTCAAAAGGAAAAAACAGAGATTCAATAGATGCACTAGTCCAATTAGTCAAACAGTTAAGCTATTTCATATTCAACAGGAAAAGTTAAGGGGCACCCGAACTTATCCTAAAAGTGGCCATGGTTGAACACAGGAAAACTGTTCTTGAGTTCTGGTCAGACTCAGATATAGAAGCAGAGGAAATACAAGACCAAACGAATTTGACAAGCCCCAATTCTTCAAGCATGACATTCGCCAACTATATACAACACTTTACAGTGTTCAACACTCCAACAAAACATATTAGATATAGAATCAAGCAGACCCATTCTCCACCAATCAGAAAATTTTCCACTAATGCACAAAAATTATTCTGAATCAAGTCGATAAAACTAACTATACTGAAAATGCCATTCATAGTTACAACCAATCAGAAGATTTTCCACTATACAGAACTGCAACGGAAATAGAATACAACACTTCTCCACATATATCCCTCCCCTTTGACAATACAATAAAGGAATCAATACATGATGTGACACATGAGGACCCCTTGGTAGTAACCAGCAGTATAACGAGAACTACCAATATAGAAGAATTCTTACTTTCTCAAAGAACATCCTTCTGAAAACACCAAGGACAAGAAGATAGCATATCAACCCTTGAGCCCAAACCAAGTACCCTTTCATCCACATTATCAATAAGTATCCATAATGTTAGAGGAATCACATGAAGTGTAGACCAGGCAAACCTCATAGAAGAGCTATTGGAGAGAAAAATAGACATAATAGGGCTTAGCGAGACAAAACTTTCACAGGAAAATCAGCATTTCATATTTCAAGAACAAACAGAATACAAGTGTTTTTCCAGTGTCAAACCAAACAACCCCAGAAGTACAGGAGTTCTTCTCTTAATTCGCAAAAATATCGAAAAATATATAGCATCAATTGATAAAATTGATGGATATCTAATAGCAATCAATCTCCTAAACAGAGGATATAAGACTTGGATTGCTCAAATATATCTACCAAGTGATAGGAAAAGAGGCCAAATGCTACAAAAAAAGATTCAAGACTTACTCTGAACATATCCACAAAAGAATTACAAGGTGATTATAATGGGAGACTTCAATGCAGTAGTAGATCCAAGAATAGACTGTAAATCAACAGATACTACAAGAGATTTTGTTAGATCAAGTGAACCTGAAAGCAAACTGTTCCAATACATGACAAACTGGAACTTAATTGACCTGCAAAGTCTTTGGGAACCAATAAATACTACACATACTTGGAGAAACAAAACAAGTTCCAGCAGGATAGACTATATGTGGGGTCCTACGGGATAGTGAACAACATACTTCAATTTAACAACGAAGACTTCCGCCAATATTCAATAGTGATCACACAATACTATCCATCAAAATAACCTGTAATACCATGTTTAAAGATCACCAAACAACCATAAATACTTATAAGCCATGCAGGGAAAAAATAATCAATCTCTCCAAAACAACAAAGACACAATGGAAAAAATATACACAGAAAGTAGATCGGAAGCTACAACAAAGTGATATCCAGCACCAAATTCAGATTATGAACTCAGATCTGATAGACAACAATAGACAGAATCAATTGGTTCAAAAATCTTGGAAAACCTTCGAAAAAGTCCTAATAGCTTTAGCTTTCAATCACCTCCATTGTGAAAAAAAAACAGTAAAAGGATCAAGCCATCCACAAATCCAGAAAAGAAGTCACAGAGAAAAAGAGGCATTCTACAGCTACTGACGAATTACCAAAGCAGTTTATAACTGGTCAGAACTAAATGACCCAGTAACCGGCACAACAAGAAGAGAAAAGCTGTAGAAAGAATGCAAGAAAATCAATAAACATATTGCCCCAATTACACCAGTCTTCAAGTCAAGTTGTGATATTGCAGAAGCAATAAAAGGGAAAGAAGAAGAAGACCAACTAAAGCTACAGCTTAGAGAAATGACCTAAACACTGAAGAAAATATGTTTAAATGAAGAGCGGAGTAGAACAAATGATGAAATTAAGAAAGCAATCCAGGAAAGATATAGAAACCTCAAAGAAAATCAAAGAAAGGTGATACAAAGCCTAACAAACAATTTCTGTGACAAGATCAGTATAGACTGAATCCGCATTCAAGATTACCTAGGAAGAGAATACATTACAGTAAACAAGGAGGAAATTCTCTGGCAAACTGAAGCATACTATGAAAAAGCGACCAAAAAACAAAGCTGTGATTTTGAATCATTAGATGAGGGGTGGAAAAAACAATATGAGCCTATAAGTGAAATAAAAGAAGAATGGTACAACAGTATGGAAAACACAATTTCAGAACATGAATTAAAAGAAGCACTTAAAGACCTACCCAGCATAGCGAACATTCGATATGATTGGCTAGCTTTCGTAGATCATTTGATTGATTTTTCTAAAATATGATTGGTTGATAAATTATAAAAAAAATCTATCGATTTTTACCAAAAGAACTGTTATTTTAGCATAGTACAATAATTTATTCTAATTTTTTTTTCATTTCATATTCACACTTTCACTATTAGTTTATTTTTTTTATATTGGATTCGAACTTATTGTTTAAGTGAACATTCGTTTTATTGTCGGAAATAGGGATTGGAATCGGTTTAGTCGACTAAATATAATAGTTTACTATGCGGATTTTTTAGTCGACTAAACCGATTCCAATTCTTAGAAATTTGTTAATATAAATAATGATCGTTATTTTTGTAAACTATAAGTTACAAATGACGAACATAAGACATTTGCTTATTGTTAAAAATTTGCAGAAATAGATGTTAAAAAAAAGTTTACAAAAATTAATTAAAAAAATCAATTATTTTATTTATTGTAATGTAAATTTAAATTATACTAGGTGAAAGACCCGTCTTTGAATGACGGTTGTACATGTGATGTACGGGGAAGAAATTATGCATCACTTTATTAAATGTTATCAAAATTAAATATATTTTTTTTTAAAACGCAATCAAGTTATGTTATGGAAAAAATACTTTCGTCACCTGCATAGGTATAGCGACAATTTGATGTTTAAAAAAAGTGATGCATAATTTTTCCACCCTGTAGATAATAAATATAATAGAGTACAAATATATGCGGCGTGAGTCAAAGTGCGAATTTGGGTAATTATTTTTGAAGGCGGCAAAAATGCTAGATATGATTTTTTCTGACCCTACTTTTAAACAATACATACACAATGTAAATTTTCGGATCACAATTATAGCGACCGAAAAATCCCTGTCCGCCTTCGAAAAGAATTACCCATTTGTATTATAGATTATAGATCAAGAATGCAAGGCAGAAAATTTTCTGTTTTTCTAGTACAGCCGTCAAGCACACCCTGCTCCAGAGCAACCACCGCCCCGGTCATCGGACCAGCCTACTGGTGTAGACCGACCGCTCAAGGCCTAAGGCTGGGGGCGGAATTACGCATCTCCCGGTGCGCTCCGCCCTGATGATACCGAAGGTATTATGTAGTCTGTGGCGAGTCCGCGTATGCGTTATGAGCCACGGGCCCGGCCCGCTCGGCTTTGTAGCATCATGCACGAATAAGAAAAAGTAGTTTTCACTATTAAGGAGGCTAAGCAGTTGCTTCAAAAAAATGACCCAGTAGTTTTCTCTTTCCTAAGAGAAATTGTGACTCAATATCCCATATTAATTAATCGTGCTCCTACTTTACATCGCTTAAGTATTCAAGGATTTTATCCGCACTTAACATTAAGTAAATCTTTGGAATTGCATCCGTTAGTAACTACTCCTTATTATAGATATA